TGACATGGATCCACCATGTAGTAGCATAGAAAATATTTTCACTGCCCTAAATATCTGTACAAGGAGAGGCTTTTTGAGCATAGACAAGAGCAAGGGTGCAGTTGGAGAGTGGGGCCATGGGGAGACAGAAGGTTCCGGCAAGAGGATGAGGGATGGAGCAATGCCCCAGGGGAGGCCAGATGGGAAGGGAGCAGAGCATGGCATGACGGTAATTTGATCACATAATGTTAAATGCACTTCAGGTTCCACGGGAAATCTCTTGGGGTGGTCAGCCTGGGTGGGTCGGGAGGAGATGCTGGAAGTTGCACAGTCCACAGCATCTACTACATACCCGTGCCCCACTCCCCAGCCCCTGCCACACCTACACTGGCAGATCAGAGGGGAAGGGAGGCAGGCGCCTGTCTGGTTTTGAGCACTGAGCATGATGGCTGGGAACTTCTGCAGAGCCCAGCTACCCTCTCTGCTGCCAGGGAGCTAGGGAAATAAAAGCCTGCGTGTATGCACCCGAGCCCTGGCCGGAGTCTTGCTTCCCCGGGACCATGGACAGAACTTCCTTCTCTTCCAGCTGATGCTCAGGCCCCTCTAGGGACAGCAGGCTGGCTCAGGACTGGTCATTTGGGGCTGGCCCCTCACACCCCACTCTCTGCCAGCCCCAGATCTTGTTTCCCTGTGGAGCCAGGGAGGCAACTGCCCAGCCTCCACCCCTCTGGCACCCTCGGGGGACAGGGGCTAGAGGCCAGCCCCTGTACCCCCTCCATTGGGAGCTTCCCTGAAACTGTCTCAGCTCTGCACCTCCTTACAGGATAACCTATTTAAAATATTTTTATGTCTATTTATTTTTGAGACAGAGAGAGTCAGAACATGAGTGGGGGAGGGGCGGAGAGAGAGACACACACAGAATCCAAAGCAAGCTCCAGGCTCCAAGCTGTCAGCACAAAGCCCGACTCGGGGCTCGAACTCACAAGCTGTAAGATTAAGACCTAAGCTGAAGTTGGGCGTTTAACCAACTGAGCCACCCAGGCGCCCCTACAGAATAACCTCTTTAAAAATGTAATCCTCACAGCAATCTTGGAAGAAGGGCATTATTTCTGTCTTTACACAGAGGGCGTAAAGGCTGCCCTGTACCCTCAGGTCTGACTCAGACCAGCATCTGTGCTCTCTGCTTTACGGCCTCCCCTCAAGGCACCCACGGTTGCAGAGGCCACAGTTGCTCCCTGGCATCAGCTAGTCCTCTCTCGGGTGCCCTAAACCACAGCCCAGCATTCTCCTGTTGAGGTGAGCCTGGGGCAATCTTGGCCCCCAAACACCTAAAGCCTGTCCTAAGGGGCTTTTGAGCCAGGAAGAGGTCCAGGAGCTCTGCCCACAGCTGGGCCCTTACTTGCGAGGTGGCTGATGATTGGGGAAGATTGAAAAAGCAGAATGGGAATGAAACGGGTGTTATGAAGAGTTTTTCAAATGCTCAAAAGAGGATAGAAAGACTTCAAAGGAAAAAAAATCCCCCAAGAGTGTAGTGGCTTTGGGTCCTTGGTGGGCAAGGATCACGGAGAGAGAGGCAGAGAGACAGACCAGAGATACACGGGGCACACCTCGCCTGGACTGCAAGCTTCTCCAGCCCTGGGCTCCGGGCAAGGGTCCCGGGGGGGGTGGGCCCACCCTTCTGCAGGGCAGGCTGCTCCTGAGAAGGGCATGGGGACATGATGGGCCTTGGGCAGAGCAGGGGGTGACTTCCTTAGGGTCCCTGTCTCCTCTCGAGGGCCCTGGGCAGAGCCAGAAGATCGCCATCTAGAAGAGAATTACAGCACCTCCACCCCCTTAGCCCCAGGGGTCATGGGCCGGACTCAGGGCAGCCACAAGCCAGGCCAGCTGAGCCCTGACAGGCAGACACAGGTGCAGGAAGATAGGCGCCAGGGCAGGCAGGAGCCAGCCCGGCGCTCCCCGTAGGAAGCTTGGCTACTGACCAGGCCCTGGGGAGGCTGAGCACTTCCCAGGGAACAAGGATCCCCTCAGTCTATACCTGTGGACAATGGGGAGCCAGGCAGGGCAGTAGGGAGGTGTGGTTACCCCACGCCTGAGGGTGACAGATGTCCCGAGGGCAGCTCCAAAGGGAGGGCATTCCAGATAGTCCTCTGGCTTGTCCTGGCTGATCTGGCCCCAGCAGCTCTTGGATGTCATTCTGGTGTCCTTGCTCACACTGTCATCCATGATCTTCTGGACACAGCTCCAGTCCTCCCTGGCAGGCATCCCCTCCACAGGCATGTCCCTCTGTCTCAGGGTCTGCAGAGGCCTCACCTGGGATCTCCTTGCTGCAGAGCAATGGCCCCCTTCTCTGTAGATGGTGAGAAGCATCTGCGGGAGCCCTGGTGGGGGGGTGTCTTGCTGTAGGGGAGCTCTGGTGTGGGGGGCAGCCCTGGTGAGGGGTGTTCTATGGTATGGGAGCCCTAGCGTGGGGTGTTCTGCTGAGGGGAGCCCTGTGGGCAGGCCGCTAGGACAGCAGAGGCTTTGTGCAATTCACCCCGAATGGAGGCACTCTGGAACCTGCCCTGTTCTCTGCAATGCTTCCAAACGAAGATGGACTGACTGATGGACAGGGGGACTGACATGTGACACAGCAACTTGAACAAATACTAAGGTAGAACCTCAGTAGTGGGTACGGGGGTGCTCACTATAGAGTGCTTCAGATGTCTACAATGAAGTGCAGGGGTAACATTGGTCTGAACATGAAGCCGGAAGGTGTACATGCACGGAAGGTGATTTTCTGCACACGGGCCCAGCTGGGCTACTCAGCTTGCCCTCAGGGGTCCCCTCTCAGCCTAGCAAGTGTTTTCTTTGGCTCTGTTGTTTCTTACCCTTTGTTCAACCCCTTAAATCAAAGGAAACCACACATTCCTGTCATCAGCAGAGGCTCCCTGTGGCCATGAATTTCGGGATATGGGGGTGTGTATTTTGGGAAAGCCCAAGTGGTTCCAAGAGACCCCAGTAGAAGGCAGCAGAGCAGGCTGGACCTTGCCAACCAGCTGGCATGGCTTCCTGGCAGTCTGTGGGTTGTTTCCCTACTATCCTTGCCTCGTCTCAGCAGATTTGGGGGTGAGGGGAGGCTACCCTGGGCACAGGGTGGCCAGTGTTTAAGAAAGTAGCACAGTGCCTAGGGCTGAAAGGGTGGGTCCACAGCGAGGCCTCACCCGCTCTTCCTGATACCACTAGGTTAGTACACGGGCTTCCTGGCCTGCCCTGTACAGCCCCCTGGGAATGGGCTGGAGGCTGGGGACTGCAGGTGGCCCTGGTTTGGATGAAAGTTCCTTGTGAAGGGCCCCGAGGGCAGGAGGCTTCCATCCGTGTCTGGTGTCTCGGAGCCCAGGGCCTGGCCAGAGGCCCACCCAGACCTGGCACCCAGGGTGTGGGACTTTCCCTAGGTCCTCTCTGGACTCCTTCTAGGATGGTCCCCCAGGCCGGGGCCAGAAAGTAGCTTCTACCAGCATTAGAAGCCAGCCTTGTCCCTGGGGTGTAGACAGGAAAGTAACTGCGGTGTGCCCAGAGAAGCCAGGACAGAGAGCTGGCTGGTGGGCATGTTGTAGAAGAAAAGCCAAGGGACAACTTGGTGGGGGTGGCTCCCAGAGGCTCTGCTTTCCTATGACGTCCCTGGGGATGAGGCCTTTGTAGCATTCTACATGATGCCATGGGGGAGGGGGGGCGCCACATGATGTCATGGGGGATCAAGTCATAAAGTCATTCTTTGTGTTATCAGTAGAGGGTAGGGCTTGCATGTGGTATCATGGGGAGAGGGTAGTTGGGGTAAGGGCAGTCTCCGTGACATTCTATGAGACAGCTTTAGAAGTGGAGCTTCATCACATTGCATCTGATGTCACTAGGGGCCAGCCATCAAGTTATGATAAGTGATATCCCCTAGACCCTCCAGAATTTGCATTTCAAGTGACATCACTGCAGAGGAGAGTACTACCAAATTCAGCGAGCTGTTACTGAGGGCCGGGCAGGCAGAATTTGTCTTTGTGCATGACATCATTGGGAGTACGGTCTGAGTCATTGTGACATCCCACGTGATGTCCCTGGGAGTGTAGCCTTCCTAACATTGGATGGGGTATTCTTGGCATGCAGCAGCCATAGCATTCTGTGCGATCACACTGTGGGGGGTAGGGTCCACAGACTCTAACATTCTGTGATGTCATAAGTGTGCAGGATTTGGGACTTGGGCCCCACACCCGCACCCCCACTTCTGGAAGTGTGAAGCCAACCACAGAGCACTGAACCCTGCCCCATGTCCCAGATGACCTTGCTTCCCCAGGCTGAGATGATGGCTTCCCCAGTCTCTGGCTACCTGCCACAGTAGCCCTTCCCTGGGATGCTTTTGCAAGGGTACATTTGTCCTGCCTCCTCACCTGGCAGAGTCTCTGGGGTGATGCTCAATCTTAGCTCTTACATATTCCCTCTCTCCTGGAGCCTGCAAAGTGCTCCATGGGTTTTGAAGGTGCAGATGTTACAGTAAGCTACCTGTTGTAACAAACAGCCCCCAAATCTCAATGGCTTAGAATAACAGAAGTTTATTTCTGTTTCTGCAACTTCTGATACAGTACTTCTTAATCATCTCTCCTCTCAGCAGTGACTCTAGGACTCAGGTCCCTCCGTTAGTGGCTCAGCTGTCTTCTTCTGGGTCTTCTGCATCCAGTCAGTTGACAATCAGAGAGAGTGCAGGATGGCAAGGATGGTTGGTAGGGGCAGGCCTGGAAGGGGCGCGCATTGCTTCCACCCACATTCCCGAAGCCTGAGCTAGTGTCATGTTTGCATTCAGACACAGAGCACCAGGAAACGAGGTGGCTGTGGGCCAGGAAGAGGAGTCAGGCTTGGTGGGCAGCGGGTGCTGGTCATAGTTAATCAGAGAGGAAATGGCGAGCCTCTACTGCATGATCCCAGGCGACTCTTCCCCGAGGACAGACCCACCCTCAGGCCCACCCTTGGTATGCTCACCCCACCATCTGTCATTTTCTCAGATCACACCGGGCAGCAAGGCCGCCCAATCCCAGCTTAGCCAGGGCGACCTCGTGGTGGCCATTGACGGCGTCAACACAGACACCATGACCCACCTGGAAGCCCAGAACAAGATCAAGTCTGCCAGCTACAACCTGAGTCTCACGCTGCAGAAGTAGGTGGGAGCTCTCCAGAGCAGGGGTGGAGCCTGGGGTGTGGGTATCAGGGGCTTGAGACAGAGGGGCTGTCTGACAGCAGTAGTGTGGGCCCAGCCTGTGCTACAGGACTGCACAGGAAAGCAAGGACAGCCTCTGGACCAGAAGGACAGGCCCAAGCCACCATCAAACACCTGCCACATCTGTAGCTCACTTTACTGATGAGGCTTGGGGGTGCGGTGGCCACACTGCTATCAGTGATTGGCCAGTCAGGCCTGAAAGCCAGGGTCTTCCCTGCCTCTTCTTCACCCCAGATGGCCTCCCAAGGACCTAACATGGGTACAGAGTGCCTAAGGACCATGACTTCTCCAACTTGGCGGGGCCCAGTACCTTCCTGGGGTCGCCCAGTTTGTGGGGTGGACAGTGGGCCTCGGGCTCTCTGGTGCTCTCCTGTCCCCAGCCCTGCCCTGGGAGGGACCCCTGGTCCTAGCAGCAGATGTCTTCACTTGGTCCCCTTTCTGGTTTCTCCAGGTCTAAGCGCCCCATCCCCATCTCCACAACAGCGCCCCCAGTCCAGTCGCCTCTGCCGGTGATCCCGCACCAGAAGGTAGGTGCTGACTGTCGGTGGCAGGCCCTGCTCTCCGCTGTGGTCCCCCTGGGTGGAGCCCCTGATCTGCCCGCCTGACCCTTGCCCAAGGGGGGCAAGATGGTAGGATGCGCCCTGCCCTACCGCTGCCCCTGCCGTGGCTGGCCCTGAGGGAGGTGGGGCAGGCCTCCAGGGAGAGGCATCCAAGCCCCCATGAAATACCAAGACACCGAGTGTCGGGGCCCCGGATCTCGTGGCTGGGCTGGTGGGAAGCCAGCTTAGGAAGTGGTGTTTTCAGGAGAGGGATCGTCCTCCCCGCCAAGTGGGGACAAGTATCTGGAAGGCTTGACCCCTTTTTCTCCTGAGGGTGCTGGGAGAAGGGTGGCCGGGGCATGAACGCTCGGGGTCCCCCAGTTTGAGCCAGCCACCCCAGGCGTGGAGGAGCCTGCTGCTCCTCAGAGCTTCTCCTCTGACATAGGATCTCGCCTTTTGGTTTCCACTTCGTCTCCTGACTGCACGTCCCATTAGCCCACTCAGAAGTGCTGGGAGTAGCCAAGCAGTGGGTGCAAGGTGGGCACATCTCACCACCGTGCCTGCTACCCCTTCCCAGCTCCCTCCAAGCAACTCAACCCCTTGGGACCAAGGGGCTTGGCCCAGAGTATGAGAGGCCCGCCTCACCCCTCCTGCAGGGACCCACTCCCCACCCATCCCTGCATGACCTCAGACTGACCCCTGTCTGTCCAGTGAGGCAGAGCGGATGATAGGCAGTTGGGGGAGGGGACAGGAAGAGGCTGACCCGGGGTTTGGGGTGGGTGACAGGTTGGGGAAGTGAGCAGAAGGCTGCTTGGGCAAAGTGGCAGAGGTGGACTGTTGGAACCAAATGTCAGCCCCCCGATGCCCTCCTGCACCTCTACTCTGCCCGTCTACCGCCGGCCCCGGGGGCCCTCTCACTGGCCATGTGGGGGCATCTCAATAGGGGGTCAATGGAGCAGAGGCCGGGCTGTGCCCACCAGGCGCTTCCACTCAGGGGAGTGGGGAGCAGACATAGGATGGAGGGGGTTCCCCCAATCACCGGAGATGCCCCCCCTTTTTCCTCCAGCCCTGTAAGCAGGCTGGCTTGGCCTGGCTTTCTGTGAGGGGCTTGCACTTTGCCCAAGTGGATGTTAGCCTCAGGGCCAGGGACCATATGCCTCCCTCCCCCCCCCCTCCATCAAACGCTTCCCTTTCAGGAGCCTGGCCTGTCCCCTTCTGGGCTCGGTGCAGCGGGCTGCAGGCTGCGGGGTGGCAGGCTGCTGGGTGCTCGCACTAACACCTCTGTTTCAGGTCCATGCGGACACACTGGGACACACGTGGCCTCTAACTGCTCTCTTCTCTCTCCCCTGCATGGCGCTGCCCTGTGCCAGGACCCTGCTCGGGACTCGAACGGCAGCCTGGCGGCACTCAGCCCCAACCCCGAGGCGAGGGCCAGCCTGGGCACCCCGGGCACCCCGGAGCTCAGGCAGACCTTTAGCTCCTCCTTCTCCCAGACCTCCGTCTTCTCCTCACACACAGAGGCCTCTGACCCCAGCCCTCCGTGGGGCAGCCCGCGGGCCAAGGCCAGCCTGGAGGGAGCTCCGGACTCACCCAGCCCGAGAGTCCCGCAGGGCCCGAGCCAGCCAAGGCAGTATAACAACCCCATTGGCCTGTACTCGGCAGAGACCCTGAGGGAGATGGCTCAGATGTATCAGATGAGCCTCCGAGGGAAGGCCTCAGGTGCTGGACTCCCAGGAGGGTAGGTAACCGGTGTGCAGCTCTCTGCTGGTGGTCTGGGGCCACCACCGGGGTCCTCAGTGCTCACAGAGGCCTGGCCGGGCGGTTGGAGTGAGGAGCTGGCCTCAATCAGCTCATGAGGGCAGCTCGAGCTGACAGCGATACAAGCAATAACGCTACTGGTATGTTTGCCATGAGCCGGCTGTGTCATTGCTTTGCACAGCCTGGGGTGACATGTTAGATCCTGCAGAGGGGGAAACTGAGGCTCAGAGAAGGCTAAGCTGAGGTCCAGCTGTCCAGCTGCTAAGTGGCTGAGCAAGGCCTGAATGTGAGACGCTGACTCCCAAAAAACTTTCACACCAGCCCGTCCCCCAGGACAAGATGAAGCCTGCTGCCTCTAGGAACTCTGGGGCAAGCCTCAGGCTGGTCCCCCCAGGGAGTCCTGAGGCAGGAGCAGGGAAGAATTACAGAGGAGGGAAGGCAGGTTCCTTAGGGCCGGGAGTGGTCTGGGCAGGCTGCCTGGAGGAGGGAGCACTTGAGCTGGGTGCAGAAGATTCAGCAATGGAGTGAGTGTCAGGGACTTGTAGGACTGACCCTCAATAGAACAAGGCAAGGAAGCAGGACCCGGAGGAGAAAGGGGCTGCACAGGATGGTAGTCTACTCCCTACCCACTGAGCTCTAGCTAGTGGGCCCTGCAAGTGTAGAAGCTAAAAGAACCTATGGTTGGGGTGGACATTCTTGAGGGGCTGAGGGGAGGGAGGCCCAAGCTGAGCACGCTCTAGCTTCTAAGCCCTTCAGGCTTATTGTAGCTCATTCTAACTTTGCGGTGCGATAGGTATAATTATCTTCTCCTGCCCTAGAGGCAGAGCAGGCCAAGGCAAGGCAATGTGGCTCAGTGGTTAGGGGGTCAGGGCTCCTCTGTACATGGACACGAGGCTGTCTATGCCTCAGGATTACTGGGAGGGTGGGAAGAGACCCCACACACGCAGCACTGAGCTCTGTTCCGGCGCACTTGCTGTGTGCTATCTGGTTCACGTGGCTGATGCCCTGAGTCAGAATCAGAACCCAGGTCCATCTGACCCACACCCATGCCCTCCCTCTGCTCTTGAAGGTACCTGTGCCCCATGAGTTCACTGCTCCCCTGCGGGTTCCCAGTTTCCCCACACCCATCAGCTCTTCCTGGGATCCTGGGTGAAGCTGGCCTTGGACATCCCACAGGCCGGGCTCCTGGATCCTGGCTTCCTTAGACCAAACTGGCAAAGCCATAAACCCCTGGGCATTTTCCAGCAAGGAGCTTGAGAAAACTCAAGAAATGGCAGAGTAGAAATGACCTCCTTCTGCCTTGTATAGGCCGGTAGCTTTTTCTGGTCTTCTCTGGGACTGCCCCCTGGCAGGGAAGTCAGCCTCTGATAGATTGAGACCTCCACAAAGCCCACCTTCAGTGACAGTAAGATCTCTCCTTATGGAGCCCTCACTCTGGACTTGGGGCCCTGTAACAGTCTTGTGCTTTATGTAACACACCCTCTCAGCAACTTCAGAGCTGGGCATCGCTTTCCCCATTTTATCTCTGGGAAATATAAGCTCAGGGTGAGTGATTTGCTGAAGGTCACACACAGCTCATGAGTGGCAGACGGGGCTGGTACCAGGTCAGCTTGACTCCTGGTGGTAGGGACCTGACGACCTGCCCGGGAAAGTCAAAGGCCAGCCACACCCCTGTTTCTCATGGCTCCAGAGGTGCTTTTGCGTTGGTGCAGAACTTGACAAATGTTAAATTATTACTTGAGCAGTAGGTCAATGGTTTCTCCAAGGGGAGAAGGAGTGCAGTGTTTCATCCACAGTAGAGGCTGACACCGTGGTCCTCGGGCACTGCTGGCTGGAAGGGTGGAGTCCCTGACCTGTGCTAGCCAAGCCAGCCCTCGATGGGTTGAGGCCACCACCTCTGCTAAATGTCTGAGTGCTCGAAAGCGACAGGGTTGGCGAATGCTAATCCTCACATCCATCCGTTGCACACCAAACCCGTGCTGAGGGCTTTACACACAGGATTCTGTATAATCCACACAGCTCGCCCGTATGGGGGGCACCACCATCTCAATTTGTGACTGAGGACGCTGAGGCGGAGGCGGGCGGGAACCATGTAGAGTCACAGTGCTAAGAAGATGCAGGGTCAGGATTTGAACTCTGTCCTGCCTGGCTCCAAAAGGAGGCTCCTTCCCCTCCCCCCTGGGCAGCTTGCGATGTGATTCCTTGGCAGCTTGAATCCTCTCGGGAGGAGTGGAGAGAACAAATAGGGGTGCAAGGGCAGCTGGGCCGGGCCGGAGCATCCCTGCAGACCCCCTTCTCATCCTCTGTGAGCCAGCACTGAAGGGCAGTATCCCCCAAGTCACTAAGTACAAGGGCCCCTGGGCAGGCCTTACATCTTTGGCTTATTCTCCCCAACACCTGGGTGCTGGCTCCTCTCTGAGCCGTCTGCTGCAGGCTTCTCATTCTCCCAGTCTTCAGGCAGAAGCAAAGCAGGGGGCAGGAGTCAATGCCAAAGAAGGTGCTGGCTGCCAGGTGCAGGAACAGGGAAGGGCAGAGGCAGCAACCGCCTCCCCCCCCTCAGGCCAACACTGCCCTCTGCAGGGGACACTGGGCTGGACAGGGCAAGAGCTGACCCTGCAGCTGTCAGCACTGGCCAGAAATGGAGAAGGGACAGAAGACCTTTCCTAATATAGCTCAGCTGGCCGCTATTTGAGGCTAGAGGACAGAGGGAATTTTATCAGCTCTGAGACAGTGCAGGGCCTGGGGCCAGAGGCCCCCTGGCTTTGGCCTGCTTCCCCTCAGTGGGGCCAAGGAATGACCGGGGTCAGGCAAGTTGGGGCCCAGGCTCTCACAGCCAGAGCTGAGAATGGCCAGATCTGGGATGGTGGCAGCATTTGGGGGCCACCTTCTGCACTCTTTCCCCTCTATGACAGGGCCATTGGTGTCTTCAGGGTCTGCCCTGCAAGGGATTTGCATTTAAGGAAACCTAATGCAGGCAACGCCTGCCAGGAGGAGATGAGGCTCCAAGAGTCTCGCTCTGGACAAAAATGAGGGTGGCGTTCACCTTGTGTCCAGGCTGCCTGGGCTGGAGCCCTTCCCGCAATAAGCCTTGGACCTGTGCTTCTCCAGAGCCTCCAGAGCATTCCTCCATCCTGCCTCGGTGACTGTGCACAGGGCCTTTAGGGGCCAGGGCTGCCTGCCCCTCCTCTGGGAGGGAGAGTACATCCCGGGGAGGGGGGGTGTGGGTAACCCCGCCGCACTGCCAATCCTGCTCAGGGAACAGAATTCCCAGAGCTGGCCCCCAATAAACAAGGGCAAGTCCAGAGCCACTGTCGGGCCGGGAGGCACGTCCGGCCTTGGCTCTGCCTGGAGCAGTCACAGCTGGTCCTGTCTCCCTCTCCATCTTTGTCTCTTGGGCTCTCCCGCCAGGCTGTATGTGGTGGAGTCACATACACAGTACGTGAGCACCCACGAAGATGGACTAGAAAACCCTTACAAAACACAGCTTCGGGGGCTGTGAACCAACTGAGGGGGAAGCACTGCCATCAGCACCTCTGACCCAGACAGAGGCTGTGACCTTGACTCTGAGCTCTGCCCCCTCTCCTTGGCACTCTCCTCACCCAGTGCCAGTCAGGGCTGGCGCCGCCTCCACAACGGCTGGTCTGAGGATGGTCCCGGGGCTCAGGCCCCTCCTCCCCCCACCCCCCGGCTGGACCTCACTCTCATAGCCCTGTCTTCTCTGCTCTTTCTCTCCTCCCCAGGTGGTAGTCAACTCTCCAGCCAAGTTAGTATCAAAGGAAAGCATGTGCGTGCGCTTGTGTGCCTATCCTCGCATGCGACCGTGTGTCTGTTAGTCTGGACGGCGTGCGCCTGCGTCAGCATGGGTACATGTGTGTGCATGTGTGAGTGGGGGTGCATTCGCGTCCCTGAGCGAGCCTGCATGCGTGTGGAGCTGCAGGTGTGGAGTGGAGGCCTTGGGGAGGGGTGCCAGGGCTCTGTCTGATGCGCCCTTTCGTTCCCCATTTCCTGCTGCAGCTGTGTAAGACCAGCAGGCCGGCTCAGGGGGGCGGTGGGTGGAGCGCGTGCGGAGCTTGTGCTGGGTTCCACGTGAACCTGAAGACGTTGCTGTCCTGGAGGGACCCCGCATAAGGGCTGCGCCTGACCTTCTTTGCCCCAGGAGGGCACTCGTCTGTTAGAGGGGAAAGCCCCGCTTGGCAGAGACGGGTGGCCACACAGCTAGTTGGACTAGAGGGGGACTCAACAGCCTAAGTCCTGCTCCAAGGAAGAAACACTTGCACTGAAGCATCTGGAGGAGAGGAGAGCCCCGGGCAACCGGGCAACCGAGAGGGTAGCCAGCAGGATGAGCCTCTTCGTGGAGGAACCTGACTCACAGTCCCCATGGGTGCGCAGTGGGGCTGCTTTTCGCCTTTGGGGCATTCTGGACTCTGCTTGAGCTGCCGCTGCCTCTCACGCGTGGCCCAGCTCCTGTCCCCTGCCCCCAGTCCTTTTTGTCTCTGCTTCCATGCTGGTGTGGTGAGAGAGCTTTCAATGCCTGGCGCCCCCTGCTGACCCTGAGATGCAGCTCAGACTGAGCCTAGACCTCCCGGGATCTGGGAAAGCCAAAATGGGCAAGGAAAACCTTCTGCAAAGGGCTTTGGAGGAGGGTGCTGAGGATTTCCCCGACCAGATCCAGCTGTCCACAGTTCAGGGGACTTGGGCAACTTACCTGGGATCAGGCCTTGGGAGGTCTCTCCAGCACCAGCCCTCATCTTGACCCCCTGTGTAACACCACCTGTTGCCCTTTTCTCCTTCCACCTCTCTTCCTCTTCTTCCTCTGCTCCCCATGCTGCCGTCCCCCAGTGCTGACTACCAGGAACGGTTCAACCCCGGTGCCTTGAAGGACTCTGCCCTGTCCACCCACAAGCCCATTGAGGTGAAGGGGCTGGGTGGCAAGGCCACCATCATCCATGCGCAGTACAACACACCCATCAGCATGTACTCCCAGGATGCCATCATGGACGCCATCGCTGGGCAGGCCCAGGCCCAGGGCAGTGACTTCAGTGGGTAAGCGCCTTCCCTCCACAGTCACTCATCGTTCACCGCCTACACCACTGGCTGGGCCTCCTACTTGTGGAGGCCAAGGTACCAGCCTGCTGGGCGCCATCAGAGACTTTAGGCATCGGGGACCAGTTTTCCTCCCTCGCCTTGGGCCCCTCAGGGCAAGGCCGTTGGAGGGAGCCAGCCTTTGCCAGGGACCTTCCAGAACACGGTGTTCTCTCTTCAGAATCAGTCTCACAGTCAGCTTTAGAAGGGTGGAGGATTGAAGAATATGGTGGTGGCTCCAAGTGCTTTTCACAGCCTCTGCATTTTCCCTGGCTCCACGGGGGGGGGGGGGGGGGGGGGGGGGGGGGGTTGGTTTAGAAAGAAACTTCTGGAATCCTGGGTCACATTCTGGATAAACCAGTCTTCTTACAAACTAAGCCATTCTTTGGGGGAAGTTGCTGCGTTCTTCCAAGGATGAGAGCAATGCAAATACGTGACCAGGTTTCCTGCTTGGGAGGGGCCTCTGGACCAACCATCCCAAGGGCTGTTGGCACTCAGCCCCGCTGCAGAGCCTGGGAAGCACCCAGGACTCGGCGTCTCCTCCCCCTGTTTGCTCGAGGAAAGCCTGGTCTCAGGGCAATGGCATTTAGGATGTCCTTGGTTCCTGGAATTTGCCTGTTAGCAGTGGTTGAGGAACTTGAGTGTTGAATAGGGAAAGAGTTGGCTGAAAATCATTTGTGGAAAAAACTAATAGTACAAATATTAATAGGAAAGTCTCTCTTTCTTTCTCTGTCTCTCTTAGTCTCTCTACTCCCTGTATCTGTCTTTTCCTGTGTGTGTGTTTCTCTGTCTCTTTATCTCTGCCTTCCTCTCTGTCTCTGTTTCTTTCTCTCTCTCTTTCTGCTCCCGGTCTGTCTGTCTGTCTACTCTCTCAGTCTGTCTTGGTCTCTCTCTCTCTCCTTTTCTCTCTCTCTCTCTCTGACACACACACACACACACACACACACACACACACACACACTGTTTTCTCTTTGAGAATATCATTGCTGTTGACTTTGAGAATTGAATGATTATCTCTTTGGGCGACGTCTTATCCCTGAGTCGGGATCTCAAGCAACTCAAGGCAAGAAATCTTAAAATGATGGTTGTACTTTTTCCCGAAGTTAGGAAAAACAGATGTTGTAAGAGGGATTCAGTGGTTTAAAAGTCCCAGATAACTCCTGTAGTGTTTGGTCTTTGCAGAACCCAGCCCTTGTGGCCATGACATACATGTCACATGCAGGTTATACGGGGCAGGCTCCAGGGGCCAAAGGATGGAATGTTGTGTGGATTTCGCGCCTCTCCTCTCGGGCACACAGTGCCTCCTTTGGGCCACCAGGGGGCAGAGGTTCCTTGCCCTGAGCCTCAAACCTGCCAGGCTCAGAGCTGTAGCTCTTTCGCACAACTCTGTACAGTGTTAATTTATTTAATCCCACCGTTCAAAGCAGACAATATGACCATGCACATTTAGAAACACAACCATTAGCTCATATGTACCCAGGAAAACAAGGCTGCCTGACTAAGCCAAAAAGTTAACGGGGATTTCCTGTTAACATTTGTTTGCCATGTGTGCCCTTGCTGTGCTCCTAAAAGTGGTAACATCGCCAACGTCGCCAAAGGGACGTTCAGTGGAAAATGATGGCAGAACTGCTCTTCACTAACTTTATATCTTCTGCACCTCGGGAAAAGACGGCTCTCGTTTGGTTTTACCGCTAGGGCACCGGTGATTTATTTTAACGTGATGCACCATTGATCTAATCTAGACTTCTCAGAGTACCTCTCCCATCCTCCTCCCGTCCCCTCCCCTTCCCTCCCCACCCCTCCCCCTGAGTGCCTGGGAAGCAATGTGCTTTCCCCTTCCTTCTAACTTGGCCCTGCTGGGCTGGGTGCCAGTGGTAAGAGCTGCCTCTCTGTGCCATGAGGTCTCCGTTTCTGCTGTTAATGGCCATGATTCCTTCCTCACTGACAGTTTTCTTTTTGTCTTTCTCTTCCTCCTTTATCCGCCCCACTCCCATAACTCGTTTCTGACTCTAACCCTGCTCCCTTGCGTGCGCGCTGCCCCTCTCCATCCCCTGATGGATACACACTCACTGCTGGGCTTTCTTCTGCTTGGCAGGGCGTCGCCGCTGGCGTAAGTAGACCCCACAGTATCTGTTCCGTCGTAGTCGTCGTCGTCGTCGTCATTGTCGTCGTCTGTCTGGTTGAGGGGTGGTGTGTGGGTTTGGTGGGATATGTCTAAGGACGGTGGTTCTGTCCATGGTCTTCCTCACACCCACCTCACAGCCAAACGACATGCTTGCAGCCTATACCAGGCAAGTGCTTTCGGGCTGGGCCTCAAATACTGTCACTGTGGACACAGAAATCAGAGTAATGGCATCACACCGCCTCCCCTGCACCCAAGGCTGGAAGTGTATCCTCTGTGCTGTGCTTTGCTGGGGCTCCTTGGAGCCTTTCCTTCCTGTTTGCACTGGGACAGCATAGACCTGAATGTCTGAATGCACACTGGGCCATTATTCAGGGAAGAGGGCAATGAGGGGGCCCTGGGAGGCCATTTCCTAGGATCCTCCCGGGAGGTGGGTCTGGAGGAACCGGCGCCTGTCAGTACCGCCCATGGGAGGTGAAAGACGAGTCAGATTTGGGGGCAGCATACATGGAAGTAAGTGTCTAGAAGTGACCTTGATGTTGTGGTGGTGACCGTGGAATGTTTTTGGTGGCAAGAAGACCATACTGCGAGTGGCTCCAGAGAACCCCAGACCCAGGGTCCCAGGACTGGAGGGCCTATGCATATTCTCCCTGAGCCCTGGAGTCTCAAAAGGAACAGGAATTCCTTCATCTGCCCCCCAATGTCTGTCGCGGCAGCAACACAAGTCCCTGGTCTTCGCACACCATTGTGGGGAGTGGTGCCAACCATGTGAGTCCCAGGGGACTCACTCTTGGGAGCTTTCTTGAGCCCTTGGAGCTGTGGAAGGAACAGGAGAACGCCTCAAGGGCATGTTCCAGAGAAGTGGCAGCAAACGCCTTCCGTCTGCTTTCTGGACCACAAAGCTGTGTAGCCATGCTCAAGGGCAGGGCCTGGCCTTGGGGCTACACCTTCCCTCTCCCGTGGCAGAATCCACCCTTCATCTTTCCCTTCTGGCAGACCAAGGAGTCCTGGTTATGTGTTCCTGCTGAACCTCTCACCCAGAAGTAGCAGATCCTACCTCTGTTTTGGGAGCCCTTGGGTCTCCTCCTTATGCCAGAAATGGCCTCTCCCAGTAAGGACCCTCTCTCTCCTCTGCTCCAGGCTCCCCACTGCTGGACCCCAGAGGGATCTGCTGGTCTTCCCCATCTGATCCTAGGCTGCCGGTACCTGTAGCTCTCCAGGGCAGGGCAGAGCCTTTAGGGAAGTCGGGGTGGAGGACTCTGCCCATCTTGGCCACCTTTCATCACCTTCCTCCACCTCTGCTCTCAGAGCATTCTCTGAGCCAGACACTGGAGACCAACCCTGAGAGATCTGGGAAAGTAGGCCAATACTTCCATTCAGCTCCTTGCAGAGAGGCTAGAAGACATGGGCTCTGGGGAGGTCCCTCTCCTAGCCAGCTGGCCCTCTGAAGGGTAGGTATAGGCAGTCATAGCAGCAGGCAAAGGGGCACTAGACAGAAGAAGTTTGTGAGCTGGGCCATGTTTTGAGGTGTGGAGCGTCTGGGATGTGCAAGGACCCAGGGGGCAGAAGTGGCCTTTCTGAGCCCACATGACTGCAGTTTGATGGAAAGGCCAATGGGTTGGGAGTCAGGAAGCCTGAGTCCTGACTCAACAAAGCCCCTACACCTGGAGCTAGTCGGTCAGCCACTCTGGACCTCAGTTTCAGCATCTGTAAGAGGAGAGCGCTGGGCCACTGGGTCATAGGGTGGAGATCCAGGCTGTGCTGGCTTTGAACTTGTCCCAAGTCCACCCTGATTCCTGGGAGGATAGGTTAGACAGTCAGGACTCTCCAGCTTTTGCTGGCCAGGGTGAGTGGGGACCCTATAACCTACCCTGCAGTCTGATTCAGGCTAGGAGGCACTGGACCCAAGAGATTCTGCGGTCCGTTCTGGCTCTGCTATAGGATTCATTCATTTAAGTTTTGAGCACCTGCTATGTGCCAGACCCTGGGAGTCTGAGGGAAGGTCGCCAGGTCCCCCTCCAAAGGCTGGGCTGCCGTGGAGCAGAGGAAGAGTGATCCTCCCTTTAGCTCTACCCCCAGGTCCCCCAGACCAGATCCCGGCCCCTCCCCCCACCGCCCCCCAATCCGCAGGCAGTGCCAGGCCACACATGCCTGAGTTGCCTTGTTTCTCACACTGCCTCTCCACCAAACCTGCCCGTTTTTGCTGAGTGGAAGGCCCCAGTCCACTTTCAGGGCAGCCATGGCATTGGTGACTCCCTCTTGGGATCCAGAATGTGTGAGGAGGACAAGGAACTGACCCTGAAGAAACCTCTGAGTCCCCTGAATGGCCTGTCGTCACCCTGCCCCAAACTCAGGAACGGTTTGGGGAGGTTGAAATTATTTCTAAAGACCTATTCTGCTTCCTCTTTCCTTAAAGGAGATCCCGACGGGGGTGGGGGCTGGGATGTGGGTGGCTCTTCAGGCCTGTGTGTGGAGTGAGCCCGGGGTGGGGCAGGGGCTTGCCAAGAAGGATCTGAGAGGAATCACCGCCTCGCTTTGGCCACCCTGAGCACTGAGGACCCAGGCCGAGCCCATGTCTCAGGCTTTCAGATGGCAGTGGGTAAAGGACACGGGGAGTTGAGGGAAGTCGGGGTCACCAACTGGTGCGCAGGGAATGGGGGTACGAGCAGATAAGCCACGGGGGTGGTGTGGAAGGACAGGAGCAGGGTTCCAGCCTCGCCCTCACTCACGGCCTCTTTCTGCCTTGCAGGAGCCTTCCTATTAAAGACCTTGCAGTGGACAGCGCCTCTCCCGTGTACCAGGCCGTGATTAAGAACCAGAACAAGCCGGAAGACGAGGCTGACGAGTGGGCCCGCCGCTCCTCCAACCTGCAGTCTCGCTCCTTCCGCATCCTGGCCCAGATGACAGGGACGGAATACAGTAAGTGAGGCCGGGGGTGGGGCACGAGAGACGCTGAGGGGCCAGGAGGGCCCTGTCCCACAGTCCTAAGGCCCACAGAAGCCAGGGAGCCAAGCCCCCACCCCACCCCCACCCTTCCGGCCCTTGAAGATAAGTTGGTTTCCACAGAGAGCTAGCGGTGTGCTGAGCCCCTCTGGGCGCTCGGGAAGGTTGCTGAATGACATTGGCCTTCTGTCCAGCTCCCTGACTCCAACATTAGACCACACGCATGCAGGGGGCTTGTGGCCAAAATGATGGCCCGGAGCTGGGATAAGAGGAACTTACAGGTCTGTCCCTCAACTGTACCTTGTCCTCTGTGTCCCCCTTCACCCCCTGGACTCTGCCCAGCACACAGCCTTTCCCTGCCACCATTTACAGGCTGGGGGCAGTAATTGTTCCGTCATTGGTGGGGATTCAACGTCCACAGCCCTGGGGGGTTTCTTCCTATATTTCCTGTGATTCCTCCTGATCAGCAATTTTCTACCCACAGTGCAAGATCCTGATGAAGAAGCTTTGCGAAGGTCAAGGTAAGTGCCTGGACTCAGGCTCTGTGGCCTTGTCCCTCCTAACCCAATCCCTCCCCAGGCAGCCCCCGGGTCACATGAATAATGGAAGGAACCTCTCAAGTTCATGTATTTGGAAGCTCCTGGCCCCTAAAGGGCCCCAGCAGATGCTGGCTTGGGGCCTTTGTCCCAGGTCACTGAGGTAGGTGCCTGGAGCTGTCTCTATCCCCTGGGCCCAGGCTGCAGGAGTAAGGATTCTGGGCTCTCCTGGCTCTGTCCCTGGGCAGGGGCAGGACTGCTTTGGCCTTTGCTGGGCTGTTGAGAATGAGGGCATCTCTCCCTGTGAGGGCACTGGGCCGGCTGCCTTGCCTGCCCCACTCATCTCAGAGCCTGTCCCCTGTGAGTCTGGAGGCTAGGCACTGGGAAGCAGGCTCAGGGAGGGCTGTGCTGGGCATGGGCATCTGACCTCGGGATTCACCTGTCCAGACCTACGCTGACGTATTAGTTCCATAAATTGCTCAAAGCACAATAGCTCTGCTAGGAAGTTCAAGCCTGGGTGTGGGAAGAGGCTTGTGCAAGGCTAAGTGTCTCAGGGCCTGGTCTCCCCAACAGCGGCAGGCCTGGGGCCACAGCCGCTAACCTACCACCTGCATCTTGCCAGGTGCTCATGGGCCTGGGCATGAAGGGGGGCATGCTGCCCTGGAACTCACTGGAACCTGCTAGGGCCTTCCATGGTGAGGCATGGAGCCCCCGAGGATTGTGTTTCCACTTCCGGTGGCAAATGTTGTGCATGCTTTTTTTGGGGAGAGTCTGGCTTGAGCCAGCGTGTCCTTTGGCGACCTCTCTGTACGTGCCTGGGGCTCAGAGGTGCTCTTTTACCTGGGGCCAAGCTTTCTACACTTGCTAACCAGCGTGTCGTGATCCCAGGATCGCGTGGAGAGTGGAGCTCTGGGGTCAGCTCAGAATTGATGTGGATTTTATTTTTGAGCCTCCATTTTTGCCAATCTAAGCTGCTCCCACTTTTTGGCTGGGGCACCCCAGCCTGAAGTGTGGTCCCCCAGGCCTGCTAATGATGGCATGCAGTTCCAGGAACGGTTCTTAACCCTCCAGTGCCTGCAATGTGTGTACACAGAGCCTGAACTGAGATGACGTGTGATTTAGCTCAAAAGTTAGCGTCTCGCTATTTTAAGGGTGACTGAGCCGCCAGCGGTCCTGCTCCCGTGCTCAGTGGTTCCCTGCTCGCTGATTTTGTTTTTTCCACCTTCCTCCTTGAAGCCACCCACATAGATGTTGCAGGGAGCAATGCAGCTCCAGGTACTGCAGGGGCTTCTGTAGGGATCTGGAAAGAGGGCCCTATAAGAGGCTCCATCCTGCTTCCTCCCTCAATTATGGGCCCCCACCCTCAGAAAGCGGCTCCCCCCACCTCCCACAGGCACTGCCTTGCTGTCAGCCCTCTGCCCTAGGATCTCTGGCCCTGCGGTGAAGGCTCTGGGCCACCCAATTGCCCAGGGCTGGAGAGGCATACGCCTTCTGCTCCTTTCCCTTTCCCTGACTGTAATTTCTGGAAAGTTGTCCTCAAAGCCTTCCCCCAAATGTCTATTCTCCCCACAGTCATAGGAGGTGGGTGGGCATTTTCATTTCACTGAATTCCAAGCAGACTGAGGACCTAAGAGTGAGGCTTGTAGTGGGCACTGTGATCCATTTCTGTTTGTGATTAAAATCCGATGCAGTGACCATGGCCACTGGTCCCAGTGAGGGCCCCGGGGCTGCCCAAGTGACCCACTGAGAAGAAGGGATCATGCTTGTCCCCACCCAGCTCCCAGCTGGGCAGGGATCTTGCTCCCCAGGGGGCTGAGCCCCAATCCCACCCTTCCCACGGTCCCAAGTCAGAAGCTGCTCTCCCAGACCCTACTGGCCTATCTTGGTGGCTCAGGGCAGCAGCCTCTTCTTTCTCCCAATTTAGCAGCACTGACAGGAAGGAATCTTAGGGTGTTTCAGGAAGGGTGCCTCCCTAGGGTGGGCTTCACTGCACACCATTTCCACGTAGCTGACTCCCATAGAACCTAAGTCTGCCAACCCTGGGGACTGGTAGCCTGTCCAAGGTGACAGATAGCTTCTATAGGCTTGTCCGTGTGCAAGGGTGCTTTCTTCTTCCTGCCGCCATGTGGCAGGGAGACAGGCCGGAATGCCACGGTGTCAGGCTGCAGCACGGGTGGCCTCAAACGAGGGCAGGTGGCGGTCTGCGTGTCAGAGGACCCTGCAAACTCTCCCTTTGCCTGTCTCTGCTCCACCTCCCAGGCCTGCTGCCCACCCCTGAACCCTCTAGAGTCCCAGAGCATTTCAGAGCCCTGCCCTCTTCTTGAGGTCCTGGCTCCTGACACTCAGGGTGTCTTGGGTGCCTGGTAGCTGGTAGCTTCCCTCTGAAGTTCCAGTGCCCACGTGCTGGCCAACCCAAGGCAGAGCCTAATCTCCAGGGACCTTATCCTCACAGGAGAGGCAGGCCGGGTCCCTAAATAGCCCAGGCATCTGCTGTGGACTTGGCTCCCCTCCTGGGAAAGACCCCAGCACCTCAGCACACTCTTTAGGCAGGCTTAGACAGTAGCCTCCTGCCAGCTCTCGCATGGGTGCAGGTAACAGTCTGGCTCCTGGCCTCCATCTAAAGTAGCACTAACCGTGCCTCCATCCCAAAGCTGAGCCTCTAATCTCAGAGAGGTCATGAAGCTTCCCTCTGACCTGGGGAAGGCACTCCAGGGGTCAGATGGCTCAGAAGGTCGGGTCCACGTTGGGCAGCCCTGACGAGGGTGGGCGTGGGGGCAAGCTTCGCTCTGTCCTTGGCAGGGCTTGAAACTTCAAAGCATGGGGCTCCCGCTGCTTGGGTATCACCATCCCAGGGGACCCTGGTGTGTAACCCAGACGTCCCCCGGCCCCCACCTTGTAGCTCCACTGTCTATAAGTGCAGTTTCTGTATTTACCCGATGCTCACCTATGTAAAGAACTCTGCGCCTCTCTGAGACCCCAGATGTCAAGGAACAGAGTTGATTTGAGAGACAAGTTCACGGGAGAGTTGAAGGCGAGGGTTGGAGATAACAAGCGTTTCTGGATTTTTCATTCTGGGCGTTCTGTCTAGCAAGTTTGAAAACCACACCTGGAGAAACCAGGACTCTGCCCCCGCCCCCGCCTTGGGTGTCCCTGAGAAGCCCTCGTGGGGTGTCCCAGGACTTCTGATCCGTTCTCTTCTGCCGGCTCCCCTCTCGCCCTGCCCCATCTCTTCCACCCTCTCCCAGCTCCTCTCTTTGGCAGGTTGTGAATTTACTAACAGCTGCAAGCGAAGCAGGCTCACTGGAGTCGCTGACTCTCAGGGACTGTCACTGAGCACTGATGACAAAGGCTGTGGGCCTGGCTGGACAAAGGGTCACACCCGTGTCCTGGGTGGTCTCTATGGGGTGGTGGATTGTTGCCATGCATAGTGCTACCAGCAGGGCCGCTGCTTCTTCCTTCCGTCTCTCCCCAGCCTCAGAGAGGCAGGCAGCGGGAGATGCCGGACAGGCAGATCATAGTTCTGCGGCCGAGTTTCTGTGCAGTGTGAGGCCATTCGCGTGGTGTCTCTGGGCCTTGGTTTCTTCTTTGGTATCAGTAAAGTTTGGTCCCAAACAGTGGTTTTCAACTATGTTGGCAGTGGGTCCATTTTGTCTAACAGCATCCTATACAGAGACACAATATCAGGACTCGAGGCGTTTCGAGGGGGGTCCGCCACGTAATGTAGATGTGGGAAGGGGGCAAGGTATATATGGGAGGGTGCAGGGCTACTAGGGAAATGTAAGACCAGCATTGCCCCATCTCTGGTTTTTAGAGACCTAACGCCGATCTTCCCGGCTTTCATTTGCTGGCAATTCACTTCTCAAGCTACTTATTTTTAGATAATTGCAGATTGGCATGCAGTTGTGAGAAATAATACAGAGAGATCCTACATTTCTTTTATCCCCAAACAGTAACATCTGGCAAAACTACAGTAAAATATCCCAACCAGGCTGTTGACACTGGTATAGCCAAACACAGAATACTTCCATCACCCCAAAGATCTCCCCCTGTTGCCCATTTATAGCCACACCCACCTCCCTACCGTGGGCACCCTCTCCTCAACCTGTGGCGACCACTAATCTGTTATCTGTTCTCCATTTCTATAGTGTATCATTTCAAGAATGTTCTGTATATGGAGTCGTATAGCCTGTGACCTTGTGGGACTGGCTTTTTCCAGGCAGGCCAATTCCCTGGGGATTCATCCAAGTTGTCACGGGTACCATGGGTCATTCATTTGAACCGTTCACGGTTCCTCCCATGGTCTGGATGTAGCAATTAATTTTTAAGAGGAGTTTTAAACACTGCCTGAGTTAAACACTGCGTTGGTGGCTAGATGTGGCCCCCGGGCCACCAGTGTGCACCGCTGGTCTGGAGGATGCTAGCAGCCCCTCCAGCCTGGGAGATGTAGGATTCTGGCTGGCATCTGTGGCACTGGCCTGTCCCAGGCACGCCCTCTCCTCCATTTCTATGTCTCCGGCTGCTCCTTGCCCATTTTGTCCTATGCCCTCGGCTTAGCAGACTGTGGGTTGAGTCCCAGAGGCCCTATTGGTGGGAAGTGGTGGCAGGTCCTGGTCCCTATACGTGTACCAGTGGTCTCGTGAGTATGTGTGTGCACATTCGTGCCTGCCTGGCTGTGCTCAGGCCTGGGCAGATGGGGGCAGTGGGTGGAATCTGAAGGCTTCTCTCTGGGGATGGAGAAGGCTTGGCAAAGGCCAGGGAAGCATAGGGAGGTGACAGGTCTGCTCACCGAACCTCAGCATGGGAACAGGCGTTCCTCTTTCTTGATGCCCAGCTTGGGGACAGAGACCGTGCTAGGCCCACCTGCCTATTTGGTTCAGACCCGAGAGCCCACAGCCAAAGCAGCCCTGCCCAGCCCTAACCACATGGGCCAGGGAGAACCCAGTAACCCCCCCCCGCCCCCAACCTGGCCTTTGCCCAGCCTGCCC